GACCAAAGAGTAGGGTGTCTCTCCTGTGCTAAATTTCTGAGTTGTCCGATATGACCACAATACTTCTGGTAGGACTTCCGGCCACAGTCCCTTGGCGTTCTCGAGCTTCTTTTTCATGATGTTTAGTATTGATTGTTGGAGGAATCTTCTTGCCCATTGCCCGTGAATTGGGTTCCTTTGTCACTGCTGATTTCTTTGGGGAAGGCGGAACTGGCATATGATATTTCTCCATATAAAAGTGATTAATTCTTGTTCCCGTATTTGGGCGAATTCTCCCACTTCCACCCAATTAGAAAAATAATCAGTTAAAACTAAAAGGAATCGTACGTTACCTCGTCCTGCCGGGAGGGGGCCTACGATGTCCATTCCCCATTTGATGAACGGCCAAGGTGAGGTGACTAAGTGGATGTGTTCGCCCGCTTGGTGAATCACTGGGGTGTACTTCTAGCATTGCTCAAATCTTTTTACAAAGTCTGTGGCCTCCTTTTTCATGGTGGGCCAATAATATCCCGCCAGTATGAGGCATCTGACCAGCGTTCGGTTGCCGGAATAAGCCATGCAATGGACTTCGTGGATCTCCTCAAGGACGCGCCGAGTCTGGTTTGGGCCAAGGCACTTTGCTAAAGGTCCGCCATAGGTTCTCTTGTACAGGTCATTGTGGAGGATACTGCATCTGGTTGGCTGCATTCTCAGTTTCCTGGCCTCTTTTTTATCACCTGGGAGTGCGCCGTCCTGCAAGTATGCGATAATATGATTGCGCCAATCCCAAGTTAAGTTAATAGTTCTTACCTCGACTTGGTCTAGCGAGGAGTTGAGCAGATGGACCATGTTTTTGTCTCATGTTGTGATGCTTTTGGTAGCTGTGGCTAGTTTGGTGAGGCAGTCTACCTCAGCGTTCTATGCTCGTGGAATTTGGTCGAGCTGGCATTCGTCGAACTCAGGCAGTAGTTTGCAAATTTCGGTCTGGTATTTTTGCAATCTTTGTTCCTTGATTTGGAAAGTCCCTGTGACTTGGTTGACTACGAGCTGGGAATGACAACGTAGTTTTAACCGTTTTTCCCCATACTTGAGTGCTAGTCTCAAACCTGCAATGACAGCCTCATACGCGGCCTCGTTGTTAGTCATATTCGGGCACCTTATAGACTGGAGAATTACTTCACCTGTTGGGACTTTGAGTACGAGTCCTAGTCCGTACCCCGACGCGTTGGACATGCTGTCGGTGTATAGGATGGTATGTGATATCGTGCTTGCTGAGCTCAATGGACCATTTGGCCAGACTCCCCGATAGCTCGGGTTTATGCAAAATACTTCTAAGGGTAAAGTTGTGACGACTGAGATGGGGTGACTGACGAGCGCAAAACACATACTTAAATATGCTCGCTAGTTGAATAATAGTATAATATAATATCGTATCCACAGGGATTGGAGTTAAACAGTATTATCGTAGTTTGTAGCTAGATTGCTATCTAAGATAATCAACAGTTTAGAATTATGTGATTTAACAACTAAAATTAACTAAGAATCTAAACCTAATTGACGAATGACAATCAAACAAAAGTGAGCAAGGAAGATATCAATGGGAGAAAATAGGGATTGATTGGATAGGTTCAAGATAAATGTCTGGGATTTAACTCTAGTTAATTCACTTCTAATTTTCAAGTGAGTCTCTCGAATTCACTCGATTATTAGTTCAAACGTTTAGTAGAAACTTCTCTCTCGATTAAGTCTCAACCTCACAATATGAACCAATATAAGCTCGGTGAAGATATGTACGACTTCGTAGTGGATTGGTCTTTAAGAGAACCCCTTTCGATTATCCTCCTAACTAGGTTTAATCAATAATTCAACTAGCCTCTTTTGATTACTGAGAAGAATTAATGAATTCAACCAATAATATAATGCAAAGATATCACAAGTTATGCCTCTCTCGATTACATGAACAAGTGACTATAGATGCAACAATTAAAACATCCAAAACGATTCAATACATAAAACTAGAGTTATAATCCACAAACAAATTTCAATACACCAAATCCATCAAACCCTAAAGAGAACTACTCCATAGATATGGAGTAATTCATCACAAATATGTTAAAGTAAAGAAAAATATAAAACGATCCAAACTCTTCTCTTGAGTGAGGATTGAATGATGAATTCCTTGTGCTTTTTCTTCTCCAGCTCCTCCTTAGAATCCTTAGGTCTTAGATGTGTCAAAAGTCCAAAAATAACGTTTTCCATGTATTTATACCAAGTAGGGTCGGGCCCAGATAAAAATACCTTTTCCAAGTCGAAATAGGACATTTACTCCGTAAACGTTGTACAGGCGCGCCGCCCCACGCGGGGAGCTAGCGGAGAAGTTTAGAGAGCACGTTCTGACGGACAACAACACAATAGCACTGCCACATCGCCCAGCGCGCCGCACTAATGGAAAAATTCAGAGGACTTTGTTCTTTAATTCCCGATGACAATTTACTTGTCCTCTCTATTGGCCATGTTGGCAAGCACAAAATGCTAAGCCACTTTATCAAAATATTTCAATTCCTTGCAAGTTTTGTTGCCTAAAATTTAAATTGGCAGTAACCTCGTCATGCCCAACCAGCTTCACGTCGTGATAGGCCATCCAATTGGTCTTGAGTGTTTTTTTCTTTTAATTTTCATATGTATACTCAATTTTTGACCTCGAACCCGATCCCAGCTTAATTATTGGGCTTTTACTCAGACTTCAAAGCTCCAAATAGCTCGAATTAGTTCCACAATATCTACATAGCTTGGAATCACTCCTACAAGGTATAAAACATACTATAAGTGCAAAATACTATCAATTAAAGCTCAAACACAAGTAAAGTACAGTGAATTAGAGGGCAATAAGTGACTAAAATACGTAATTATAGCCTACCATCAACACCCCACACTTAAATCATTGCTCCTCCTCGAGCAATCCAACTACACTTCATATAGAACACGACCTTTCTAAACAACTCTCATAACTCATCATACCAAGAATATTTAAAATAGACTAAGCCCAATAGTGTAACATCCTAGCCTCAAGATTTAATTCAAAAGCTTTATTTATAACATGCTCACTTACTCTAACACAAAGGTCAACGACATTACCTTTCCTTCGTGAATCAAGTGCCCTTACACAACAATAGAGAGTAGTTCCACACACCATAGAAATTAAGAACAATTAGGAACTCAAGATAGAAAGAATTCACTCACTCTCAGAAACAACATTCATATGCCACAAAAGACGTACCATAGGCTTGCCCGTAGTGTACTACTCAACTAATCGAACTCATTCAGTCAAGGATCAAGTAGGACTTTAATTGGTTGTAATGTAGGCTGCGGGACAGGTAGGATACATTTAGATATAAGAGTGACTACACCTCCCTAAGCACTTCAGTACATACAATTTCATTGTTCAAAACCCCACACTTATGTCAATCCATAACTCCACCTTTACATTAATATACATTAACTCCCAACTTCTTTAAGCACAATTACATCAAAAGTTACCACTATCATGGAATATTTTTCATAACCATACAATTATTTTTTCTTTCCTTTTTATTTTCAATTCAAGTGGCTCTTACGTTTTCAAAAATAATGCACCTTTCTTCTTATTTCATTAGTTCCCCTCAAAAGCCAAACCAACCACCACACACTTCAACTTTTACAAAGTTCATAACAATTTTAAGTGCTCACGAGAGGTTAAAAGTTCAAATAGATGGTCAATTCAAACAAATGGGTAATGCTTGTAATGCGATTGCCAAAGAAACATGAATACATGCTCAAAGAGGTTAACTAAGATACATAACAATTAGGTGGGTAAGAGCATATAACTGGCTTAACAAAGAAATGCCTATATCACTTTCAAGACTGAATAAAACTACTATTTCGCTTTGCAAACACACGGGGCAAGTTCTAGACATCAAATGTAATACACAGAATACACAAAACCTCACACCCACATGGCACATAACTCACTCAATAATGGATTATCAAGACACCCTAGTCAAAGAAGTTAAGCAAAGTTAAGATCATACACTTTAAGGTGCTTATGCAAGAGTAAAAAACTGAGCCTAAGAGTCACAACTAAAGCACTCACTATTCTCAAGATATAATAAAGTTAAGAGATACTGCCTTCAATTCAAATCATAGCACAAGGTTTTCTACTTCTAAAAATAATAACTGACTATACCCGGTTCAAACAAAACCCTTGAAAAAGAACCGCGACACAAAGAAAAACCAAGGAGAAATCATTACACTAACTACAAAAGAAAATCTTTTTGTCTTTTTCTTTTAACTTTAATCCCTCAAGAAACCTGTCGAATGATATCCATCGTCGGGAAAAATCAAAATTTTATGTTTTTTTTCCAATTGTTTTTCTATCTCTAACTACTAAAATAAAAAAAACTAACACATATACATGCAACATACAATTATCCCCCTATCCCGCTCTATAAGTTGTGGCATATCCCCATGACACACAATTAAAAAATATACTGTAAAGGAAACTTCCCTGAATATCTAGGTGGGGTCTGAGTCGAAGTCGGGCTCCATTCCACGCACCCGAACCAAAGCACACATCCATGCAGACAACTTCTTCTCAGCCTTCTTGGGGTACACCCCACACTTTTGTTTCTCACTCACCACAGCTTTGTCTTTTGAACTCTTCACATTCCACTCAATACTTGCAGCTGGTGTAACGACCCGACTGGTCGTTTTGAGCTCTAGTGCGTCGTTCGGCGGTTTGAGTAGCTTCACTCTATGTTTTATGACTTGTACGCATGGTCGGAATTTAATTTCGGGAAGTTCGGAATTGATTTGAAAAGAAAATTCTAATTTCGGAAGCTTTAAGTTAGAAGAATTGATTAAGGTTTGACTTTTGAGTAAAACGACCTAAAAGAAAAAGAATGTGGCTGATTCATCTAGAAAAGGACTAGGAGGAAATAAAAAAGAGGGGGAGGACGTGAAAGTAAGGGGAAAAAAAAGAAACGATAAGGAGGGGCTGGTTTTTTGGGGAAAGGGACACGAAAAAGGCACCTAAAAAAAGAAGAAAAAGGAAACAAAAATGAAAGATACGAAAACAACAAAAAGAAAGAGAGCTTGAAATCTCACAATCACTCATCTTACTCATATTCCTTTTTGAACATAAACAATGGCTATATTCTATCCAAATTCAGCTGGGTTGAAATTAATCTATCAAAGCAACGTAATGGAGATCGATTTCGTTGGTTGAGTTGATGTCGAGTGATTGAGGCTGAGATATAGTCCGTAGTAACCTGTGCTTTGTTCGAATTCGAGGTGCATTCACATTCAAGGCAAAATTATATAATACAAAGGTCCTTTCCTTTTTCTACCTTGCTTCAATTTTTACTTCGTATATCATAAATTAGTAGTTTATTTGTTATGTTTCAGCACATTTTGATAACTTTATTTATTTATTTATTTATTTTTCTTAATTTGTGCTTGTTGTGTGGAATATAAATAATAATGATTTTTGACTTTTTCTTACTGTTTTTTTTTGGATTTCGTAAGAGTGATAGGTGCTGAAATTCTTTCTCCTCTATATAATGTTCAATTCATTCTCTTGTCTACTGTATCAATGCCTTCCTACTTAGCTGCTTTGGTATTTTACACTAATTCTCTTATCATCATGAGTTTAATAAGATCATAAATTGGACGATAAGTTTTGATTATTAAAAAGGTGAAGATGAAACTATTTTGGGGTTCTTCTCTTCGTCTCTGATTTCTCATTATCGGTGTGTATGTGCTTTATTGGATTTTATTTAGTTATTTTTTTTTGAGCTAATCTTTATTGATTCCATATAGTCTTCTATTGAGCTTAGTTTTCAATTATTTTCCGTAGTCCTCCGTCTTAGTTTTATTACAAGTTTAATACACGGTTTATATATGGATTTAAATATGAAAATTAGTAGAAATTTGGGATTTTGGGAGAAAATATAAAATTTGGTATTTTTGGATTTTGACCACGAAATTGGGCATGGAATTAAGAATAAATTATATATTTGAGTTCTTGGTGTTATGGGTAAAGTTTATCTTCAAACATTTCCGAAATCTGGGCGCGTGGGCTCGAGGGTTGACTTTGTTGGCTTTTGAGCGAAGCTGAAAATTATTATAAATTGTTAAATTATACGTACTGGTGTATATTTGTTTGACTAGTTTGAAGAGACGGGCATCGGGTTGAGGTGTTTGAGTGGTGTTGGAGTCGGTTATGGAATTTCGGAGTGAGGTAAGTCTCTTGTCTAACCTTATAAGAGAAAATTTACCCCCATAGATGATTTAAATTATTATATACTGCTAATTGTGGGGGCTACATACGCACGAGGTGACGAGAGTCCGTACGTAGCTACTAATTATGCTATGTACGGGTAGTTTAGGACCCAAATCATGAATTACTTGTAATATTTGCACCCTTTATTAATTGAAGTACTTGAATTATTTTGGAAATTGTTAGAGCAAATAGTAAAAGATCAAAATTTCACATACTTGAATTTTTGTGCAAATATCGACCGCTAATAGTAATTGTACATCCCTATGTGTTAGCCTTATGATAGCTTCTCATTCCGAAGGTTCATAAAGTGTCTTCCTTTCTTGTGGAGCGGGCCGAACACCTCGGCAGTATAGATGCATCTATGGATCGTGCCGCACGTCACTCGGTAGTGTACACGTTATTCCGGATCGGGCCGAACGACCTCGGCAGAATCGTGCGTTATCGCTAGTAGTTCGAATATTCACAAGATAAACCTCCCACTGAAGCCCGACATTTTATGGTATTTCTTGCTTAATTGGTATTGACACTTTGAAACTTTCTAAGATATTAATGTAGAATACAATATCGAGAAACTTATGCTTTAAAAGGAATAATTGGAAGATTATAAACCTTACAAATTTACCCCACTATTGTTGTGTACTTCATATTTGCTTACGCCTTTATTATGTTTCTTTATTAGATCTTTAGTAAGTGTCGATGTCGACCTCTCGTCACTACTTATTCGAGGTTAGGCTCGATACTTACTGGGTACAGGTTGATTTACGTACTCATACTACACTTGGTGTATATTTTTGTGCAGGTACATATAAGTCTAGTGGTTTTCTAGGCGCAGAGGCGCAACTATTGCGGGGACTTACGGTGAGCTGCATTCCATGTTACGAATCCGCAGCATACAGAGTCTCCATCAAAATTATTTACATTCCCCTGTCTAATCTATATTCCATACATATGCTGTCTTTTATCATATTTCCTAGTTGATACTCATGCACTTGTGACACCGGGTTTTGGGTGTTCTTACAGGTTATTCACTATTGTGGTTAGTGCAGATATTTTCATTTACTGTGTAAATTCTATTTTTATACTGTCTAATTAAGGAAAAACTTTGATTTCAAATTTCTAAGATGAGTAATTAATTTGGTAAATTACCGTTGGCTTGCCTGACGGCGGCGTTAGGCGCCATCACGATCTATAGTGGATTTCGGTCGTGACAGCTGGCTTTTCCTTTTTCAACCCCGTTTGTACATTCATCTCAAAAGTCATAGTCTCCTCACCCACTCTCAGCATGAGTCTTCTCTCGTGTATATCTAAAATCTCCCTACTCGTTGCTAAGAATGGTCTTCCTAAGATGAGAGAGACCTCCTTGTTCTCCTCCATATTCAACACTATAAAGTCTACAGGAAAGACAAACTTATCTACCCGAACTAAAATATCTTCCACTATCCCCTCAGGTATCAGAATCGTCTGGTCAGCCAGTTGCAAAGATATTGGTGCTGACCTTATCTCTCCAATCTCATTCTCCAACTTCCCGTAAATAGACAAAGGCATTAGATTAATTGAGGCACCAGAATCACATAAAGACTTATAAAATTTAATAGTGCCTAAAGAGTAAGGTATAGTAAAACTCCCTGGATCTCCACACTTCCGTAGGAGTTTGTTTTGCAAGATTGCTTTGCAATGCTCTGTGAGCTTCACCACCGAGGTCTCTTCTATCTTCGTCTTCTTTGTAAGGATCTCCTTCAAGAATTTGGCATAAGCTGGCATTTATGAAAGCACTTATGTGAATGGCAAATTTACATTAATCTGTTTCACCATATCCGGAAATCTCTCAAATTGCTTGTCCATCTTTTCTCTATAAATCTTTTGGGGAAAAGGTAAAACAAGCATGTGCTTGCTCTGTTCAGTTTCATCCCTTCTTGAATTCTCTTCCTTCTTCTTTTTCTCAGTTCCCTTTTTGCCTTTCTTCTTATCAACTTCATTTTTCAGCTGCTCCCCACTTTCTTTTTTAGGTATCACATCTTTTTGGACTTGGGTGGGCTCTTTCAACACTTGCCCACTTCTCAGAGTTACAACATTTACTGTTTCTTTAGGGTTTCTTTCAATATCAGCTGGCAGAGTACCTGGAATCCTTTTAGATAATATTGTTGCGATCTGTCCCACTTGTCTCTCTAGATTTCAAAGACCAGTACCTATTTCCTTGATAGATGCTCCATGTTCCCTTGTAGATGCACTATGAATTTCTAGCTTCTCATCAGTTTTCTGAATGAAGGACTTCATGAGATCTTCTAAGCCAGACTGAATGTGCTTTTGAGGCTGAAATTATTGCCTCTGTTAATTTTGGTAGAGTGGCGCCCCTTGTCCCTAAGGTCTAGGATTGTTCTGTTGCCATGCATTTTCTGTACCTCCATGTGAATTCTATGAAAAATTGAGGTGCCTCTGACCCATTGCATTAAAATTGTAGTTCTCCACAACATTTACTTCCTCAATTGTGGCCTGACACTCTTGGGTAGGGTGTCCTCTTCCACATATATCACAAGCTGCGTGAGTCTCACTTTTTATCGAGACTGAGGTCAGCTTCCTTATCTCTTTGGCCACAACATCAAGCTGTACCTGCACAAATGTGTTAGCATCAACCTGGTGAACACCAGTTGATCTTCTTCTTTCAGCACTCTCAAAGGGCTATTGATTTGCATCTTCAGATAACTCATCAAGGATTGTGACTATATCCTCTGGGGGTCTTCTTCATCAATGGGCCTCCAGCTTCATTGCTCAATATTCCACGCGAGGCCGATGCCAATCCATCCAAAAGTTTCGTAGTTGCATCCAGAGTTCAATTCCGCTATGTTGACACTTTCTGACAATCTCCTTAAACCTCTCCCAAGCTTCAAACACAGTTTCAGTGTCTTTCTAGCAGAAGTTATGGATCTCTCTTCTAAACTTGCTCGTTTTAGCTTAGGAGAAATATTTATCAAGAAATTTTCTGGTCATCTCCTCCTAAATTCTAATTGATACCTGAGGCAAGCTTCGAAGCCACTACTTCGCATCATCTTTGAGTGTGAATGGGAATGCCCTTAAGTACACTGCATCTTGTGACACACCATTATATTGAAAGGTGTTCATAATCTCCTCGAAGTCCATTAGATGGTTGTTTGGATCTTCGTTCATCTTCCCTATGTAGACACAACAGTTTTGAAGAGTTTGGGGCAACCCTTGCTTGAATTCAAAATTGTTCGCTGCAACTGGAGGTGGTCTGATACTTGACAATCCTTGGTTGTAGACCGGTCTAGCGTATTCACCAAGTGGTCTCCCAGCACTGGGAACTATGTTTCCAAAATGGGCTGCAGCCAAGGGATGATTTCGATTAAGTCTGTGACCCCTCTCTTCTTCATAAATGCGTTGCATATCTCTAATAGTTGCTTCTTCAGCATCCCGTGCAACTTTTTCTATTTGGTGGGCTGACTCTCTTGCAGCCAAATCCACATTATCATCATCTCCAGCCATAGTTTCTATGGTTGAGGATTGACCAACCTTATCGATATTCTCAAGGGGATTTCTTCCTTTCCTCAGCTGTCGCAGTTGTTTTTCTATTTTTGGTTCGTATGGTAGCAATTTCTTCCCAGAAGATCGAGTCATGTACCACTCTTTCATGCAACCTGTGCACAGTCAGAGAACACCAACGACTAAAAAAGAAATTAACTTCTGAATTAGTACTACAAACTATTTTAAACACTATTGATTGCCAATCCCCGGCAACAACGCCAAAATTTGAGGAGCGCAAAACACACACTTAAATATGCTCGCTAGTCGAATATAGTATAATATAATATCATATCCACAGGGATTGGAGTTAAATAGTATTATCGTAGTTTGTAGCTAGATTGCTATCCAAGATAATCAACAGTTTAGAATAATGTGATTTAACAACTAAAATTAACTATGAATCTAAAGCTAATTGACGAATGACAATCGAACAAAAGTGAGCAAGGAAGATGTCAATGGGAGAAAATAGGGATTGATTGGATTGGTGCAAGATAAATGTCTGGGATTTAACTCTAGTTAATTCACTTCTAATGTTCAAGTGAGTCTCTCGAATTCACTCTATTATTAGATCAAACGTTTAGTAGAAACTCCTCTCTCGATTAAGTCTCAACCTCATAATATGAACCAATTTAAGCTCGATGAAGATATGTATGACTTCGTAGTGGATTGGTATTTAAGAGAACCTCTTTCGATTACTAAGAAAAATTAATGAATTCAACCAACAAGATAATGCAAAGATATCACAAGTTATGCCTCTCTCGATTACATGAACAAGTGACTATAAATGCAATAATTAAAACAACCAAAACAATTCAATACATAAAACTAGAGTTATAATCCACAAACAAATCTCAATACACCAAATCCATCAAACCCTAAATAGAACTACACCATAGATATAGAGTAATTCATCACAAATATGTTAAAGTAAAGAAAAACATAAAACGATCCAAACTCTTGTCTTGAGTGAGGATTGAATGATGAATTCCTTGTGCTTTTTCTTGTCCAGCTCCTCCTTAGCCTCCTTAGGTTTTAGATGAGTCAAAAGTCCAGAAAATAATATTTTTTCATATATTTATACCAAGTAGGGTCGGACAAAGATGAAAATACCTTTTCCAAGCCAAAGTAGGACATTTACTCTGTAAATATTGCACAGGTGCGCCGCCCCATGTGGGGCGCTTGCGGAGAAGTTCAGAGAGCAGGTTCTAACTGATAGCCGCACAATAGCACTGTCGCATCGTCCAGCGCGCCGCACTAATGGAAAAATTTAGAGGACTTTGTTCTTTAATTCCTGATGACAATTTACTTGTCCCCTTTGTTGGACACGTTGGCAAGCACAAAGTGCTAAGCCACTTTATCAAAATATTTCAGTTCCTTGCAAGTTTTGTTGCCTAACATTTAAATTAGCAGTAACCTCGTCATGCCCAACCAGCTTCATGCCATGATAGGCCATCCAATTGGTCTTGAGTGTTTTTTTCTTTTATTTTTCATATGTATACTTAGTTTTTGACCCCAATCTCGATCCCGGCTTAATACCTTGGGCTTTTACTCAGATTTCAAAGCTCCAAATAGCTCGAATTAGTTCCACAATATCTACATAGCTCGAAATCACTCCTACAAGGTATAAAACACACAATAAGTGCAAAACACTACCAATTAAAGATCAAACACAAGTAAAGTGTAGTGAATTAGAGGGCAATAAGCGACTGAAATACATAATTATAGCCTACCGTCAGTGACACTGGAAATACGGTCTAAGCTTCAGTGAAGCTATGACTAAGGCCAAAGCCAGTTTCTCAAGGTGTAGGTACCTCGTCTCGGCATCGACTAGTGTTTTGCTAATGTAATAGATGTGAGATTGCGTACCTTTGTTTTCTCAAATTAGGATTGTGCACACAGCTACCTCAGATACAACTAGATAAATGAGGAGATGTTGCCTCGACTCTGGTTTTGAAAGCAAGGGTGGCGATGACAAGTATGCCTTTAGTTCCCTCAGAGACTAGACGTACTCCAAAGTCCATTGGAGGCCGTTATATTTCTTGAGTATGTCAAAGAATTTATGGTATCTATTCGACGATTACGAGATTAACCTTGATAGGGCGGCGATGCGGCCAGTCAATCTTTGGACCTGTTATTTGGTGGTCAAGAGTTCGGGTATCCCTTCAATGGCTTTAATTTGGTCAGGGTTGACCTCGATCCCTAGCTGTGATATGAGGAACCCTAGAAATTTTCCCAAGGCTACGTCGAACGTACACTTCTCCGGGTTCAGTTTTATTCCGTACTGTCTGAGTCTGTCGAAAGTTTCTTTCAAATGGTCGATGTGATCTTCTCCTCTTTTTGACTTGACAAACATGTTGTTTATATATACTTACATTGTCTTGCTGAGCTGATCCTTGAACATTCTTGTCACCAACCTTTGACAAGTCGCCCCCGCATTCTTTAGTCTGAAGGGCATGATCCCGTAGCAGTACGTTCCTTGGTAGGTGATGAACGTGGTTTTTTCCTAATCTTCCTCTTCCATGAGGATCTGATTACAGCCTGAGTAAGCATCCAAGAAACTTAGCCGCTCATGTCCGGCCA